TCCAGCATTCATTCACATCTTATACCAGAGGGAAAAAAAAAATAATGAGAGTCCTAAAAATACCTATATTCAAAAAAAGAAAAGGAAAAAAATTCAACCCTTAATCCCAAATTCCTTCTCCTTAAAATAAGTAACTGAGCTTAGAGTATGACATTTAGAGCAGAAACTGTGTCCCTGCTCCTGTCTTTTGCTTAATTATCATTGGATCTCTGCAGTGATCCTCTGCTCTATGAAAATGAAGTTATCGTGAAACATTCATTGAACACCTACTACTTGCCAAGCATAGTACCAGACACAGGAGTTCAGAGATGAAAATGGGATGGGCCCTCGTCATGTGTCTGGTACCTGATTCACTGGCAGTGTCCTAGGGACCCTCCTAAATGGTTGGTGCCATGTTCATGCCCACTTGTCAAAAGAGGAAATTGAGGTTCCACATAAGCACATTGGCTTGACCCTTGAGTCCCTGGGGTACTCGGATGCCTAGGGGAGGTCTCACCCGCCCCCCAGAGAGCCAGGCTAACTGGAAAAGAAGGGGGCAGAGCCTGAGATTCCCAAGGACACGCCTCTTACAGTGCAGAGGAGGAGATGCCTCCGGAGATCATGTTGGACTGGAAAAGGCCTCCTTCCTTCTGCCCCGGCTCTTGATTCTGGGGAAATGACCAAGGTAGCCCCGAAGCAACAATGACAAGTCAAGGCTGTCCCTGGGGTGCCATGGAGATGACCAGCTCTTCCCAACAGCCTTCAGGTCCTTATGACCATTGCACTCTTTCCTGCTTCTTGCCATCACAGCTCGCCTACAGGAAAAATGGTGACAAATAGAGCCACCTCTATGTGAGTGGCCGTCCTGGACCTCAAGGGATTCAGGCTGAAGCTGGGGAGCACAAGTGGAGGGAGAAGATGGGCCTGCAGTCACAGAGGCCCAGGGAGACTTGGACACCATCTGACCGTCCACTCCATGAGGTGACCCACAGCTGAGCACCTACCCTGAGGACCAACTGGGATTCAAAGGAAGCAGAAAGAAGCGCAGAGTGGTCTGTGATGGATCAACGGAAAGTCATCATGATGGGAAGGGAGAGTCCCCGTCAACACGACGCAAGTGGAGCTAACCTTGCCAGGGCATCGGGAGGGATCCTGAGGAAGCACGAGGAGATGGTGGGAGGGTCACTAGGCCCAGAGCAGCATTTCAGCAATAGGGAGACGGAGCGTGAAAGCCAGGAGGACAGGAGGCCCAGCACCACGAGGGGCACACAAGGAGACATTGGTGGGGCCAAGCCCTTTGTAGTGCCACATTTATAAGAGGACAATGCCTGACACGTTGTTGGAACCCGCTCAATTATGGCCTCCTAAAGAAAGCTGGCCCCTGGAAAGAACTGTCCTGCTGCAGGCAGAGGGAACTGGAAGGTGGTGGCAGCCCTTCCCAAAGCCAAGACCCTGCAAGACAAGAAACCTGGGCCTTCGAGTCCACCCAGAACCTTCCAGCCTGAATGCAGAACTCCACGGGGTGCGAGCCAGACTCTGCTGGAAGCCAGCAGGGCAAACCCTGTGAACCCCTCAGCAGAGGGCTGGTCAGGCCTGCTCAAGGAAACCAGTGCAGTTCTCAAAAAGAACGACAGACCTGCATATAAAGTGAGACACAGATCTCTAAAGTGCTTGTTAAATGAGGAAAAAGTAACAGAGAACAATGAATTCAGCAGGCTACTGGTAATTAAGATGCGGAGGTGCGTGCCCGAGACTGACTCAGGCACCGCTCACCTCTGCAAAGATAAACCCAGGGCTCCTAACACTTCTTGCCTCTGGGTAGAAAACCCAGGGGCCACAGTGAAGAGGAGATTTATTTTTCACTGAAAACCTTTTTTAACTACTTGACTTTTTTTAGCATGTGTAAAATAAGATTTGTCAAGAGTCCAAGATTTTGAAACTTCAACTGTTAAAAAAAATAAAAATCGAATCTTAAGTCAGACCCAGATGTGCCACTTCTCATGGTGGGATGCTGGGCCAGTCACCTCATTGCTAAGCCTCAGTTTCCTCTTCTGCAAAATGGGGATCATAAATAATTAATTGTAGGGTGGATGAGGGTTAAATAAAGCACAGATGCTTAAAAGTATGTAATCAAATTTTTGGCAGACAGTAGTTACCCAGTAAACATCAGCAATTGATATCAGCAGTTCACCATTCATATTGGCTAGGTGACTGCACCAAGTTCCATGGTGACAGTAGTCATCTACCATTCTTTCAGCATAAAGGACACCACAGAGTCCAGACTGGGCCTACTCTAAGGAACAGTCACCGCTCAATTCTTGTCTGCCCTCAGGGCCCCTCTCCCACAAGGCCTGCCTTGGAGGAGGGGGGAACACTTGGAGTTGGGTGGAGACAAGAAGCCTTGCCTGCTCAAGTCTGCTCCACTCACAATGGGGAAAAGAGGTCAGCACCAGAGCTCCTGAACCCCGCAACTCCACTGTGCTTTCTTAGGGCTGCAGATACATGGACAGGTGGAGCCACAGTGGACACTGCCCAAGTCCTTAATGTGGAGAAGCCACTGCAGAGAAACCCTCAGGACTTGCTCAGAAGGACACAGACATTTAATGCACGGACCCTAATTACCCCTGCTCCCCAAATTCCCTGGAGTAGGTGCAGCATGAAGAGAGAAGATAGACTTCAGATCCGAGTTTGAACCCAGCTGTGTGCACACTTCTCAGAACCTCAGTGGACCTGTGGAATGGTGGCGTCACTCCATCTAACTAACCCGAGCTGGGAAGGGGCCAAGTGGTGTACCGAGGAAGAATGACCCCGAGTTGATAGTGCAGAAGCTGCCTGAAGGGGATGTCATTTCCTCAGATGAGTCTCCTTGATTTAATGCATATTGGAAATTTTCACCATGATTAAAAGTGAGTAATCAAGCCAAAGGCCGAGAGGGGATATTTACAACACACGCAAATGAAAAATAAATGAAACGGTCCGCAAAGAGTCAGGGAGGAAACAAATAATCCAAGAGAAAAATGGGCAAAGCTTTGAAAAACCAGTCACAAGAGTGGAAACCAAAACAGGCAGCAGCAAACCAAAGGGCGGCCAAATTCCCTGTGGCCAGGAAATACAGCCCAGATGCTCGCGCACTCAAGCGCTGGTGGGTGTAAGAGTGCTGGCGGAGATCTTGCACAGCTGGAGGATCGCACGAAGGTTCATCTACTTTGCAAGATGGTGGACCTAAAAAAGTTCCACGTGCCAAAGCTTGGCAACTCCACACCTGGCCACTTAGAGAAACAGGTGTACGATGGCCCTGGGAAGTGATGATAAAGGGCTGCTAATATCACAAAGAGGGACAGCAGACCTTATCCTCTCCTCGCATACAACACCACCCCAAGGATGGGGCTGTGTCATCAGCAAAATTAAACCTGAATTCAACCTACAGTTCCAAGTGCCAACCTAAGGAAATACAGGAAGGAGCGTGTCCAATGGCACCAGAGGCTCGGCAGCAAGGTTCAGGGGTAAATGGTGTGAGGCAAATGACCTGGTGTCTTCGGCAAACAAGCTGATTGGGGGAGAGGTGGGGAGGGGAGAGGGAGGACAGGGAGAGGGAAGGAGAGAGGGAGAGAGATAAGGGAGGAACAAAGAGGAACCACAAAGAGGAACCCGAGGGAGCAGCTGAACACAGAGACAGAAGAACGGTGGGTACCGAGTTCTAGGGGAGGAGGAGGGAGTCGGTGATTAATGGCGATGGTTTCAGCTGGAAGACGGAGTGTTTGCTGCATAACATGGGATGGGCTGAACTACACATGGTCAGGATGGTGCATTTTATGTTATATATATATATTTTTTACCATAATTTTTTAAATTATGGAAGACAAAGACACATAAGAGACATACCAGCCAATTTTAATATGTGAACCTCATATGATCCTGAATTCAAAAAATTATGAAATAATGGAATGGTTGGAAATTCAAACACCAATATTCGATGGTGAATGGGAATTATTGGTAATTGGAGGTGATAATGATACAGTATTTAAGTTTTCTTAGTTTTGGACATATATAGCACAGTGTAGAGAAGGAAGCAAGAATAAGTAATTGAAACAAGACTGGCCATGACTCAGAACCGCTGCACTTGACACTGGACAACATATAACAGTGCGTTCTAGTTATTCACCTCCCCGTGGGCTCCAACCATTTTACACAATAAATAAGTTTTAAAATGAAGCTGCTACATGCGGGCACCAAAGGACCAGTGTTGGACCGCTCACAGTATCGGGTCTCAGTAGTAAAATGCAGGGAACAACCTATGAGCTTATGATGGGATAAAAAATATTTCAGTGTTTCATTCAACACAAAGTGAATGAACTAGATCAGGGCTTCTCAACCAGAGGTGCCTGTGCCCCTAGGGGGACACTGAGCAATGTCAGAAGCCATATGTGGTTGTCACAACTGGGGGAGGTGAGGCTACTGCCTTCTGGGGAGTGGAAACCAGGGACCCCCAGTGCAAGGGGCAGCCCCCATGATGGAGAACCACACAATTCAAAGCATCAGCACTGCTGTGCTTGAAAATCCCCATGGCTAGATGGACATGGGATGCACTCCTCAAACCACAATACTGAATTAAAAACAAGTGACAAACAGATATGACACATACTATCACATGAGTCAAGCAAAGAACACAAAACCCAGGCTACTCGTGGAAATAAGTGTACTAAAGTATAAAACCTGGAGGGGAAGGCTCTGTGCCAATGTCAGACTATTAGAGTAACAGGGCACGTGGCTGCAGAATTTGAACCACTGCATGTATTCCACCTCTTCCCACCCGTGAAAGAGCGAGGTCCCAGGGTCCTGTAGTTCACTCTGGACAGTGGGGACAAGGAGCTGCCTTCTGGAGTGTCTGTGCTCCCCCACAGCCTTGATACTACCAGTGATGCACACACCAAACAAATCAATGGGGCTGTGGGCCATGCAGGCCAGTAGACGGGGAGAGAGGGCAGATGGCAAGGCTAGACCCACCAGCAGGGAACACTCACCGGGCCCCGGAGGTCGATGAGCTCCTGCCTCATCTGGGACACCAGAGCTTCCTTGGCCACCAAGGCCCTGTGCAGGCGCTCGTTGAACTCGATCAGCTCTCCATGCATCTCTGCCACCTGGAAAAGACAAGCATCACACCTTAGCACCCAGAGGCAGACCTTCCCCCATGGCCTTTCCCCGCTCCTATGTCCTTATTCCTGCTGTGGTTCAGCAGGGCTGGGGCTAGAGACGATGGCGTTGCTTACCTATGAGATACGCAAATCCACTCGAAAGTAGAATACAGTTTGATTTGCTTGATTTTAACACTTTGGAGGTGCCAGGCCACAGTTCATGGTCAAAATCTGGCTGTATCTAACCATATCTAGACCTTGGAACATAGGCTTGATTTTTCTAGAAAGGTGTTTTCTCCCTAAGCTGTGCCATGTGTGTCCAGAATGTCCCTACTAACAGCACAATGAGAGTGACTGCAACCGTTCTGAAAACTAGGAACGCAGAGCCAGAGTCTTCTCTAGGGTGGTGCCAACTATGGTGATGGACACAACAGCCAGTGCACAACTATATCCCAGTCGCTGCCAATTGCATGGCAGGATAACCCCGCCATATGTGCCTCCTGGCTTCACCACAGGCTTTCTGGGAGGCAGAGACTGCTACTCCCACATCACAGAAAGAAAAGCTGCATATCAGGAGTCTAAGCTGTTTGCTCAAGGTCATGCCGCTGGCAAAGGGCAGACCAGAGCCCTGGCTGTGCGCTATGATCCTGCCATTGCATGGTGCCCAGATGCACCCTTCAGGCCCGCAGTTAGCAGGGGAACTTCTCTAAACTGAATTATTTGGGCTGACACCAAATAAATGAAAATGGAGGTGGCTATATGGTAGGCTATATCAATGTATAGCCACTCAACTACAGTTTCTTTAAACATTGTAGAGAAACGTGAGGTGTCATTCTACTGTGCTGTCACAGAACCCAGCAAGAAGACTCCCACAAGCACCTTCCAGGGAAGCTGTGGAACGTGAGGTGGAGGAGACCCTCACTCAGCCTGGCCCCTGCCCTGCCCAAGAGCTCAGCTCCCTGGACAGAGCCCTGAGCACCGACTGAGGAGTGCTCATCCACGGGGCTACTGGGCCTCTTGGGGTAGGTTATGGGAGATACAAACCCACTGTGGGAATGAGGAAGGGAGCAGCTCTGTGGGGGCAGGCAGGGCCACTAAGTCGGGTCTCCCCTGGAGCAACAAAGGGAGGCCTGCCTTCTGCTCCTCCCTCACACTAAGGGCAAAAGTCAGAGAGGGAAAGAGGGGCACCGGGGTCTGCCTCAGGGCGCTACCCTCCCGTTCTCTACTTTTCCTTCCTTTGGTCTCTCAGCCATGAGTACTCTCTTGTGTATCCCAATGAAACTCTAAAGAGTTAAACTCCTTAAGAGAGTCAGACGTTCCTCACTGAAACAAAAGAGCCATTGCGCCATCAGCAAAAAATGTATCCAACTCCTGTCCCTGGGACACTTATATCAACTCCAATGCACTCCCTTGTTCCAAGGTGTCCCCCCAAACTATGTGCAACACTAAGTGAAAATTGCCCAGAGATAGTACAAGAAGCGTGCAATTAGCCACGGGAAACAACGTCACTGAGCCATATCATCAGCTTTTTTCTTTAAGACCCCAAATTAGTATTTCCCAGTTGCCTTACTCCTTTTGTGTAAGGAAAGCTTACGTCGATCCTCTTTCAGCCTTTAACAAACCAATACAGCATCTCTAATAACATCTGAGTGAATCCTCACACAAGAATCACACAAACCCTCCATGAGCTTCCTCGGGGCTGTGATCCACTTACTACACAGCCACCAGGAGCACACAAACACCTGCTAATGGGCCCCACAAAGTTCCAGTCTAAACAAATGCCACTGTCATTCCAAAAGCAAAGACAGTTTTGTAGTCTTGCCTCTCCATTGTTTGGCAGTGGGAACARAGTGCTGCCGCAGCTGCCCATCAATGCACAAAACATCGAATATTCCAGGTTCAGGTGCTGTTTGTCATGAGCTTTCAAAACCCAGGTTCCCTTTTGCAGCCAGAAGATGGACTGGACCACATTCAAACACCCATTTCACTGGGCAATGAGGGAGGGACCCAATGCAACGGAGAAGACATAACTTGATGAAATAATTTCATCATGAAACTGTGGCATCAAGCCCACCTCCAAAACTGAGCTTCTCTACTGCATGTTCCTGTAGCCAGTCACTGGAATAAACAGCCTTCCTCTTACATAAACCATGAAGCTCCCTGTTTCTCAAATAATCATCCCCAAACTCTAGCACAACTAGAAACAAATTCAAGACTAAGAGACGCCTCGGAGATCACAAGTATTTCCCAGTAGGCTGCAAAACCACTGCCACCTGAAATTTTCATCAAGCTTGCAGGGCACACACGGGTCTCCTGTGATCATCTTATTTACAGTGGCCAGAGAGAAATGCAGGAAATGGGTTACAGAGAGAATAGGTTGTCACCATCCACTCTGCCCCAAGTAGCAGTGTTCTTCCAAAGTCACATCTCATATTGTCACCTTTTTTTTTTTTTTCAATACCTTCAATGTTTCCCCCACCCTAAGGATGAAATCCTAACTCCTCTCTTCAATCCCACCTGTTGCTCTCAGTGTCTCCCTAATGTCACTCAGCCCTACAGGACGCGAATTCCATACTCATGCTAAGGTCTAGGAAGTCACCAGGTAGCAAAGGAAACTGTAGGTGCAAAGGCAGGTACCAGAGGCTGGCAGGAAGTTGAGAGGGGGATAAGGTCAAGCTTTGGCGTGAAACAGGACTGGGCCCATTTGGCTACTGACAGTGTGCTTGGTGCAAGACAGGAGCCCCCATAAGCCTGAAGCTCATCATCTACAAAATGGGGATCAAACTCCACTCTGGCCTCACTGGGCCACCATGCAGAGGAAACAAGAGTGCACTTCACAGGTGTGGCAGGGTGAATGCTGAGCACAGGAGCAGCTTTCCACAACGGGTACTGATGTCGGAGACAGGGTAGAGGAGACCAAGAAGCAGGTCTCTAGAGATCAGCTGGAAAAGGGCCCTCCCCAAAGATCGTGCCTCCTGAACAGGATGTACCACATTAGGGAGCTGGGTGACTATGGGGAAACTCACTGTCCCCAAAGCAAGAACGTCGCGGAGTTGCTAACCATCTGCCAGGTCGCTAACCACACAATTCACATGCTGTTACATTTGGTCAGAGAAACCGCGATAGAGCCACTTGAGGGAAGACGGGTGTCAGAGAAGGGCTCTCCAAGAGACACTCAGGAGTCGCCATCTAATGGACCTTGTGTGCCACACAGTCTTCAGGGGCAAACCCCTCCCTACATCCCCACCAGACACATGTTCTGGATTGTCAACGCTCAGGGCCAGTTTGAGGTTCATGACTCTTTCTGCTCTTTGTGGTTTTGTTCCATGGCAATTACCCTGAAAATCTTTAGGAAGAAGTACCATTTATTGACACCAATGACAGTGACAAATCAAAAGTCAAAGCCAGGTGGAGAGACAATGAACATGGCTGATAGCTCCCAGCACCCAGGATGAGCCAAAGGATGAGGCATGGAGACTTGGTTCTCAGAAAGGCCTGAGGGGAACCAGAGGCTAGAGGAAGATGTGGCCCTCAGCTGTGCCAGGAAGGTACACAACCGATCAGGTGTCAGCCTATGAGTCACCCTTTGGGTTTCATCCTCTGGCTAGAGAGATGTAAGGAGTTTGAGTACCAAGGCTGCTCAGTATCTATCAATGTTTGGAAGTCTCCGTCTTTGGTTTAGCAAATCCCTGCTGCACGGTCACCTGCCTGTCTTCCTGCACATGCGCTCAAAGCACGAATTCAACTGCCAATGGCTAGAACTTGCCTAAATGCTCACAGGGGACTGGTTAACTATCCCAGGGTTCCCTACATTCCTACTGACTGCCCCTTTGGCAGACAGCACTAATCCATCACAATATTCCTTTAGAGGATCCCCAGGCAGCCTTGACCAATCAGTCAGGGGCTTGGCCTAGCACATGACATCTATTTAGTAGCCCTAGCCTAGAAGATGGGGGATAGTGTCTTCCAGAAGGTGACATTTAAGTTGGGACTTGGAAGATGATGCCTTGGGAGTTTCAGGGGAATGAGAAATCTCTTCCAGCTGGAGTATCAGGGAAGATGATCTCCAAAAATAATGTGGTTGAAAAAGCTTTAAATCTGCGAAAATCCCAGGGATTATCATAATTACCTGCCAAATCATGAAAGGATTATAAATTGTTTTTTTTTAAGCCTCTGGTATTTCTTTTCATACTAGAATGTTCCATGCCATTGCATCCAAGTAAATAATGCCTCACCCTCTTTGAGCTAAGAAATCAGATGTTTCTTGCTTGAGAATGAGACACCTCTCTCTGTCCAAGTGTCCATAGAATCTGAGGCTGTTCTGGTCACATCCTCAAATTCTCTAAGAACACTTACTTAGATGGTTCAGAATCCATCTACCACCGAAGGGAACCCTCCACTGTCTTCTGGCCCAGTTCACAGTGGCTGTGGGAGGCGTCTGGAAACCCTCTATAACAACTCCCTGGCACTAGCCAACATCCACACTGCCCTAACACACTTGTGAGCACCAACTGCATACCAGCCCTCTGCAGGCTTTAGGAATCCCCACAGCCTCCCTGCAGGTGGGCACACCTTCCTCACAGGTGAGGCTGTCAAGGTTTGAAAGAGCTGAAGTGTCAGGGTCAGGAAGAGATAGAGTAGGTATGTGGACCTGTGGCCCTACTCTCTGAGGCCTTTACCCAGACATCCTGGGTGGGTCAAAAGCTGACCCCCTTTGTGGTCACAGAAGGTAAGTCTATCCTACCCAATAGAGAGGAGGGGCATGGTGTGGACCAGGRGCTCAGTCCCATCTGATCATGAGTCACCTGGAGGGTTTCTTTCTGAAAAATGAAGATTTCTGGGCTCCCTTCGTTGACAAAGGGGGAATCTAAGAAGTACTTTCTGAAGGCCCTAGCGACTGCATGACCAATCGCTGGCAAAGACAAAGGGGCAGCAGTTCCCAGACACAGCTTGGAATTGCAGCTRGGCCATCTTGTTATGAAAAACACAACTTTCCAGCCCACAAT